GCCTTACAAAATGGCCATGTTATGCATGTGAGGTATCTTAGCAAAAACAAACAAACACAAGATCATAGTCCCTCGACGACGCTATCAAAAGTTGCCTTTCAAAATGATCTTAGTCCCTAAATAAAGATGCTAAGATACCTTGCAACATTTCTAATCATGGTTATACGATGACCCACGCCCACCCTGTTCACATCCAAAGATAGGGTTACTTACCAAATCAATGGTAAGATAACAATGTCAAAGGAAAGAGGAAAAAAACATGAAAGACTTTTGAGTAGGCAGAATGTTCCTAGTTACTTGCTCAATTTCAAAACCAAAACATCCTTGCTATTTTCAAAACAAACACCAAACACTTTCAAAACATCTTTCAAAACTTGAAAACATTTTCAAAAGATCAATACTTTGTATACACTCTTACGAACGAGAATCATTACAAAGTTTGCCTAAACGATGACGCCTTTTCAAAATACTTTCAAAAAACCACACAAAGCACATTTTCAAACAAAAGCAAGTGATCTAGCAAGTAACTAAGAGCCCATGGAAAACCATGGATGAAAAGGGTGCTAATACCTTCCCTTTTCATAATCTACCCCCCGAACTCAAGAAACAATCTCAAAGGTCTTTCCTGTTCTTTTTCACCTTTCCTTTTGGATAAAAGAAAAGTCGGTGACGACTCTTGCTAACCGCAACATTTACGATAAAATGTAAAACATCCCAAGTCAGTTCTCCCACCGTATAACAACCGGCCTCAAAATAGGTACGACTTCTATATAAGTCCACTTACGATTGCTTAACATAATGCTAAATTTTGTCCCGATTCAAATAAATGATCATTCGTGGCCCAAACTTATGTTTGCAAGCCCAAGTATGTTAATTTGATCTCTTTGATCCAATAACCTTGAGATTCATTGTGTGGAGGCTTTGGTTCTACCAATCCTCTAATGGATCTACAACACCTTTGGTCAACGCGGATCACTTAAACATTGTTGATCATTAAATGGTACTTCTGAGGATTCCAAATGGATGATATACTTGACAAAAAGCAAATGCAACTTGTTTTGTGGAGGCTTTGGTTCTACCAATCCTCTAATGAGTTCTAAATGCAAGTTTCAAGATGATCATCCAACTAACCACTAATCACTAATAATTGACTTTATCCTGTATTTTTATTATATGCCCCTTTTATTTTTATGCACTATTTACTTTTAAAATTTACATTTCATGCCATTTTCATCTTTTCTCATTTGAGCATTTACTTTCTTTTCATTTTTATTTTGCTCACTTGAGTTTTTATTTTCTTTCCTTAAGATACTTAATAATCAATATGAACCATAAAATCCTTAATGATACTTGGACTATTTGGTTAATATCCTTGGCATTATGGAGCATTGGACTTCTTGGAATTAGGATTAGAAACCTTGGCCTATGATTGGAGACCTTGTGACCTTATCTGATTACTTTGTCTGGAGCTCTTGAGGTTTACCTCAAGACATTGGGTTATTTGTTTGTTTTGAGTGCAGGTTATTGTGATTAGACTCTTTGTTTGTAATCTGGAATTCACCCGTATACAACCCTTACTCTGCCCAATATTTGGTGAAGACTTAATACACTTGAAGCTTGGTTCTTTCAAGAGGTCTAGTATCTTTGCTTGCTTGGTTTCAATCCAAATAATGAGAATTCTATCTTTGCTCATAATGTCAAGTATTGGCTTCTTGTTGGTTAGATGGTTCTTATCCCTTGCTTTTACCTTATGTTTTAGGATAGTCCCTTCTCCTCCTCCCATCTTCTTTAATTTCAAAAATATTCTTCCTCCCTTTGAAAACCCTTCTTGTTTTTTTACTTGGACCATTTTCATAATAAACTTGGACTTATGTCCATGCATTTTCAAACATTTTCATAAATAAACCCTAATCAATTTAATAATACCTTGACCTTTTTTGTGAGAAGACTAAAAGTCAATCAATCTCATTTCAAACCATTTTTGCCACTTTGACTTTTATTTCAAAACTTTTCTCAAAAGATTAGACTCTTGACAATCTTTGTAGTGATGCAAACAACTATAATTCTACAATATGTAGTGAAGTGAGATATTTTCCACTTGGGTGTTGAGTGAGGCATTCTTGATTTTAAAACCCAAGCCATATCCTCCATTTTGAGATGATACAAATTCTCCTTTTTCATAATTGTGGGTAGTAAGTATGTTTTCCACACGGACAATGACGATGATGTCTTATCTCATAAAACTAACCAACACACTTGTGTTTTAAATTTTTTAAAGAGGAACTACGTGTACCCTGATCCCCTATTGCACGGAAGGTGGTACGTAGGCACTAAAGGTTCACAACCACGGTGGATGCAAAAATCATAAAAAATATATTTCTTTTCTCACCTCCACCATCTACTTTTACATACAACATTTTTATAGCCAAAATATACAAATTTTACAAAGAGGTTCCTGCGGAGTACCGTAGATGTTTAGGGTGCTAATATATTCTCTTTGCATAACCAACCCCCTTACCTTGAATCTTTCCCCCTCTTTTTGGGTTATTCACTCTTTTCCCATTTCTTTGGAAACAATAAAGCACGGTGGCGATTTTTTTATTTTGATATGTACAAGTCTAGTCAATCTTATGGCTTAGTCTTAAATATTTCTACCGCTACAGTATCCACCACTGATACAGACACCACGACTTGTGCGTCTACAGAGCCATTAGTACACACTGATGGAGGTTTCCCTGGAGGACCTTCAGATAGGTCCGTGCTGACAGGATTTGGGGACCATGTTGCTTATAGGATATAACATGGCGAGGTATATATTTTTGGTTTTGTTTAATTGCATAATTTTTATTTTTCTTACAAGATTTGATGTATAATAATTTGTTTTTGCTTCTTACAAGAGCGTTCGGTGTTGAAGGTCGCTTCTCATGGTTTGAAGTTGAAGAATTTTCCTAAGAGTCTCGTGCCTGAAAAGGTGATGATGATCGTTAGAGAGTTCCAACTCCTGGAGTTTTCTGATTTCTTCTTGACCATGCTGGATGCCTCCCTGTTATCAAATTTTGTTGAGAGGTTGCACTCGAAGACATCATCCTTCCATCTTCCATTTAGGGGTGACACATGGTGCGCATGGCTATGGATGATTTGGAGGTTTCTGAGACGCATGTGCTATAGGAGTTTGGTGAGACTCGGGGATTTCACCTTTGAATGTCTTGGCTGAGGAGGTTGTATGGGGAGCTTATGGTTTCACAGAGGTACCAGGTTGCCGCTAGGGCGTACATGCTACATCTGGTGACATGTACTCTCTTTGCGGACAAGTCTGGAGTTTATATATTGATGTTTGATACTTGTCTCTATTCAGCGCATTTGACACTCCATGTTGGGCTTGGGGAGTAGCGGCCTTGACCATGTTGTACACGGCACTTGACGTTACTTCTCGTCCTGAGACCGGGCAACTTGTTGGTTACCTCAGCTTGTTACAAGTATATTATAACGTATTTGATGTTTTTTATTAATTATTTGGGTGTATTTATTTGATGGTTTTTATTAATGCAATGTTGGATATACGAGCACTTCTCTCACATCTGTGAGCGGAAGATCCAGCGTGTTCACGCATCAGAGCCATGTGCAAGGAGATGGAAGGCCAAGCAAGTCATTTCAGGAGGTTTGATGGAGTACTAGAGGAGGCTTGACGCTCTGACCTTGGAGGATGTCATCTGGACACCATATACATCTCATCGTCTCCATCGTCTTGAGGTATTTACTTTATATTCAGGACATATTAGATGGGAGAGGCATGTGGCTAGGCACTTGTCTGAGAGGTGTCTACGCCAGTATAGTTATGTACAGGGCATCCCTCGTCCAGTTCCAGAGTCTCTAGCTGGTGACATTGATACATAGTTTTAGAGTCACATCCTCAACTCCATTACGAGATCATGGATACAACAATTGAGGTTCAGCAACCAGGGCTGTGAGAAGATGGATACCGTTGAGGTTCATCAAGGTGGCAAAGGATTCAGAGCCATCTGGAAGCTTGAATTCAATAGGAGGGTTGTTGCCGTTGTAATACACTTCTGCCGTAATAAAAAATTGAGGAAGAAACATTTTTTGGGATGTATTTTCTCTATAACACATGCCCCTATTTATATAAATGGTGATGCATTCTAGACCAAACAAATGTGTCGGTGCAATCAGAACCATCCAAATATGTCGGTAAAATTTGAGCCGTTTAAAAAACCATGTTTTTATAACTACAGTAAATTTCAATTAATTTGAAATTTCCGGTACACAGGAAATTTTAAATACATTACTGAAAATTTACGCATATCAGAAATTTTGTCGGAATGTACCAGAAATTTGGGTAGTAACGGAAATTTCAATCCTTCTAATAGAAATTTCGTCTAGAAATAGTGTGCAACTCATCCAAAAATAAAAATAGAATAAAAAAAATGAGAGGAATGACAAGTTTAATTTAAAGGATGGCATATTAACCTCTCCATTCCAATATGAGTTAGGAGGACTATTTATAACAAAACAGTCAACCAATATTTTAACTATTGGCATACCATGAGAGTCCATCGTACTTTACCATTAACTAGAATAAGGTCTGCAGAGATATAAATTAATTATTTTATTGAAATTATAATTATGATATAAGTACTTTTTTTAATAAATATGAATGATTAAGTTATATCTATAATATTTTATTTTAAACTACTGTTGTAATTATGTGAATTAAACATAAATAAAAAGTATATTTTATATGAAAAGAAAACAGTTAGTTGAAACATGATTTTGCTATTTTACCGGTCATTTCTATTAATGATAATAAATGTTTATACAAATAGTGTTTAATATGTTACCATTGATAAAAATGTAATAAATTTTAATTAAAAATCAAAAACAATATTTATAGTATAATTTAAAATGTAAGTAAGTTTGAAATTTGAATGCAAAGAAAATACAGTGTCACAATAAGAGGGGAAACAGGAATGGATGAGAAGAAACTAGAAAAGAAAAGAAAATACAGTGTCACTTAATAACCTGTGGCTGTAAGTGGTTCCCAATGCCACTCCAGCAATAAGACCGCCTACATACCCAATCAGACTTACTTTCCACTCAATTTCAATGAAAGATTCTGAATCGTGTTCACCATCAGAGGCTGAAGGTGGAGAATATGAGTGCCCTGCATGATCTAAACACTTGTTCAACAATTGATCACCACACAGACCTTTGTTACCCTCAAATGAATTGCTTTGGAATGTAGAAAACTGCCCATTTTGTGGTATAGATCCAGTGAGATTATTGAGGGAGACATTAAAGAACTCCAGAAAGGTGAGTTGTGTTAACTGTTGGGGAATCTTCCCTGAGAGAGTGTTGAAAGAAAGGTCAAGTGCTTCGAGTTTTGAAAGTTTCCCTAAAGAAGATGGAATGCTGCCAACAAGGTTGTTATTTGACAAGTTGAGCAAAACAAGACCCTTCAAGTCACCTATGACTTTTGGTATCTCTCCACTTATTTTGTTGCTTGACATGTCAATGGCTATCATACTATAAAACTCTTGAAGCTTCTCATAAACCAATACCATCCCTTTGTTTGACATTGTGAACGAATAAGAAACATTTCCTTTTCCCGAATATTCTCCTTGCTCGTACTGTAATTGACTTGTGTCGGAAGTTTTCATTGCTTTCCAACTCTGGATCATTCCTGATGGGAAAATGCCGGAGAATTCATTGTGAGAAAGGTCAATGATGTGAAGCTTGGGAAATGTGCATGTCATGTTGTCAGGGCACCTTATGTCGCCATGAAATTGATTCTCACTTAAACCCAATACTTTCAATTCGGGTAGATCTCCCAGCCAGAATGGAAACGAATCCTTGATATTGTTATGGCTAATATCAAAGTACTCTAGCCATCCGCATTTGACTAATTCTCTTGGCAACTGACCTTGAACATTGTTGTTGCTGAAATCAATCATTTGAAGGACATTACCCATCAGGTATGTTTGAGGAATGAGACCAGACAAATTGTTCCCTTTAAACATGAGAATTTCTAGATATTGACTAAAGTTCCCTATACATGAGGGAACATTACCGCTTAAATTGTTGGACCATAACTTAAGGTGGATCAGTGATTTGAGATTGCATATGAATGGGGATATTTCTCCTGTCAATGAATTGTGGGAAATATCTAAGATTTGTAAACTAGATTTTCTCCACAACCAACTAGGTAGCAAAGTTATATTGTTGTTTGACAGGCCAAGATATGTCATATCACTTAAATATCTAATAAACATTGGTACCTCTAATAAATTGCATGAACCCAATTCTATGACTCGAATTCGAGAATCCTTCATATGGGAAGAATTTTTTCCACTGTGCAAGGACAGTTTGTTGAATGATAAATTAAGATTATCTAGCTCTTTAAGCTTCCAAAACATGTCAAGCAATAGATTTCCATGCAACAAATTATGAGGTAGGTACAAGTTCACTAAATTTGTTAGGTTCATTATCCAAGATGGAAATTCACCCTTTATATTGCAATTTTCTGCATTTAATGTTTCTAGCTGCGTGAGATTTGCAAAAGATGACGGGATGTCACTGCCAATATTGACTGAGCATATATCCAATGTAATTATTGATGAGACCTCACCTATCCATGAGATGGTCTCAAAAGTAAATTCATTGAAACCAACATTCAAAAGAGTTAGTTTGGTAAGATTTGCCAGGGATGAAGAAGGGTCACCCCTAAACTTGTTATGTTGAAGGTTTATCTGTATGAGTTGGGTGAGGTTGTCAATGGAAGAAGGAATGTACCCAATAAAATGACAACTTGGAATTGATAGAATATTTAAAGAACTGAGTTTTCCAATGGATACAGGCAGTGTACCATAGAAACCTGTCTCATCTAGTGCTAACTTGGTGAGTACTGAATTAGACTGAAACTCAGGCAACCTACCAATGAGATTTGGATTATATCTCAAATCCAGAAATTTCAAGTTTGGAAGATGAAATATTCTAACCGGAAATTCACCATACAATTCAGAATTGGAAAGAGATAGTGCTTTCAGGGAAGTTAGGTTTGTGAGTTTGTCTGGTAAAGAGGATGAAATTGTCACGTAATCAAGTAGAAGAGACTCAAGTTTTGTTGAGTTATGAATTATGCTTTTGAGGCTAGACGACTTGAGTTGCAAGAAATTAACCGCTAAACCTAAAGGACTTGTTCCAAGATTAAAGCCTAAATCAAGTGACAACAAGTTGGACAAGTGTGAAAGTTGAGATGGAATTTCTCCAAAAAAGGTTGCGTGAGATAGGTTTAGATATCTTAGTTGTGAGAGCTCACCTATCTCGGATGGGATTTGAGAGTAATTGAAGTGGTTATCTGAAAGATCAAGATGTTGAAGGTGTACAAGGCGAAAGAGAGTGTTATTTGCATCCATTGTACTAAAGAGTTGGCTGCTACTGAGATCAATGTGAATCACATAATTTGTGTGGTCATCACATATAACGCCATCCCATGAGCAGCAATCGGTGCTTGCATTCCAGGATGCTGTTTTAGGATAACTGAGTGGATTATAAGAAGCAGTCTTATTGATGTTAAAGCCTTCCTTGAATTGCAACAAGGCATGGCTTTCATATTGACGACAGTTTGGGTGAGTTAAAGAAAAAGATGAAGTAAATGTGAAAGACAAGAGTGAATAAAGAAAAAGAAAGTGGAGTGACAAAACAAGTGACCATACAAACACCATTGTATCTTATTAATCTGAAAGTTTGGATGAAATGCTAGACACATATTAGGTGGTACTTATACCAAAGAAATGGACTACAATATAATAAAAAGCCTTTATTTTCTACCCATCAGTTACCCTTTGCTTTTTTTAATGGCAGCCCATCCATTACGCTATTATCAGTGTTGAATTTAAAGGAAAAGCAACGGGAATGACAAAACAAGAGACCACACAAACACCATTGTATCAAACTGGAAAGTTTAGATGAAATGGTAGACATATACAAGGTTTTTTTATTATTGGATATGAAATGGTAAACACATACAAGGTATTTTATTATTGGATCTTATTGTAGATTCTACAATTTTATTATATCTTTTTTTTGTATTAATTTCAAAGACATACATTTATACCCAGACTTTTATCTAACATAATATTATCTGTCCTATTCCTTGATTTTATTTTCTATTTGTCTCACAAATTTGTTCCCTGATTATCTGGATAACCATTTCAATCTAACTTAAAATCTCTCCAATCCATTCCATAAATAACTAATTAAATATCTTGACCATTTCTATGCAAATTTATTTGGTATTAGACGCAGCAATCTGTCTCCTCTCTTCATATACTCATAATTGGGTGCTATTTTTTCCTTTTTCCTTAAGAAAAATAAAAAATAAAATAACAAACAAATACAAAC